ACACACACATATATTATGTAAACAAAAACTTTTATTTTGGATGCGATTAATCGTTTGACAGCACTTATAAATATATGCATACATACATACATACATACAATGTTGGATAAGTTACTCTAAAAAAGGTAATTAATTACTAGTTACTAATTACATCTTCAACAGTGTATGCGATTACACTCGGTCACGTGACACGCGAGAGTAAAGAGGTGTGTTCGACTTGAAGATCGATCGGTGTATGACATCAAAGTACGGCGAGAGAAAGCATAAGGAGACGTCTGCACGCTCTTATAGCTCTCGCAGTACTTTGATGACACACACATCGGTCTAGCAGCGCTGCTTCAAATCGAGCACGGGCCATGAGCAGAAAAAGAAAATGGAGATGGATCGGTTTGTGAAAGGGAAGAGAAAAGCCATAGATGAAGTCGCACAGACCCAGGCAGGTGCTGGTCATTTTAAAGCTAAATGCAGAAAATATGACGAGGCATATCTTGCTCTCGGCTTCACTCACCACTCACTGTGTCTATACCGGACACTACAGTTGTCGCGTCGCGCCGCAACAGCTCTATACTGGACGCGTCAAAGCGACCGTTGCAAATCATTTTAACTTTGTGTCAGTATGTCATAAATAGAACGAGGCATCAGTTTAATGCCGGGTTTTGTCGTGTCGCGCCTAGAACGCATCTAGTGTAGACAGCGTCACTGATTATAATGGGTTCTACTGTATTTTGCCGTCCGGCGTAGACACGATGTTTAATGTCGTTGGTGAGGAGGAAAGCCTGTGTGTGTCCTATGCCTTAATGGACAGCATGAAACCCACAAAAAAGAAAAAAAAAATAACAGAAAGAGAATAATGATAATAACAGTTATTCTCTCTATGCTATTTTTCAATTTTTCAAGTGATGCAGGTGTTTTTTTCCCTGTAGGTTTTTTAAATTAAAAAAGCATTAATTTTTCATAATGTTTAGTGAAATTATTTGATAGTCTGAGGTGGCCTACAGAAAAGAACATTTATGTTTAATCTATCTAATATTGTGTTGGTCATACTATACAATGATTTATAGCTTGTCTTTGTTAAATAATACAGAACATAAACGCGTCACTTCACTTTCACTTTTAGAATGCACCAAGTGAAGTTGATCTGACAATTAGCAGGGTAGACACAGACTCAGAGCAGGGCAGCAGAAGAAAGCAGTACTGGAAAGTGAACACTACAAACTTGTCATTACTTGGACTGAAGAAAAAAACTCTTTTGTGCAGATTATTAAGCTGCCTACAATCAATGAAGTAGATTATTCTCTCTATGCTATTTTTCAATGTTTCAAGTGATGCAGGTGTCTTTTTCCCTGTAGGTTTTTTAAATTAAAAAAGTATTAATTTTTCATAATGTTTAGTGAAATTATTTGGTAGTGTGAGGTGGGATGGGGATTCGGGAAGGGGGGGGCAGATTTTTTTATAGGTTTAAGGGGGGCGGACCAAAAATGTTTGAGAACCACTGGTCTAAAGTTAACAGACCGTGTTTAGTGCAGTCCACATGTTTACATATGTTTATTACAGTGACTTTGAATTACCTAAAGTAGTGTGGTAAAGCAACAGATTTGTTTTTATATTTCTGCAATCTACTTTAGTTTGTGTACTTTAATGTTTACACCAGGCTTATTTGTCAGTGCTTTATGTTGTCATTATTATTACATGCTTACAAGGTTGGAAGTTCAACAAATCAGTCAATATACTGTGATTGTAGTTGTTAAATAAAAATGTCATTCATATCAATTCATGCATCACCTAATATCATCGTAACATATAGGCCTGGCGTACAGAAAAGAACATTTATGTTTAATCTATCTAATAGTGTGTTGGTCATACTATACAGTGATTTATAGCTTGGCTTTGTTAAATATTACAGAACATAAAGAGCTTTAAAAAATAATTGCATATTAAATCGCAATCGCAATATTGGTAAAAAAAAATCTCAATTAGATTATTTTCCAAAATCGGTCAGCCCTACTTATAACTAATTACTTTCTAAATCCTTTATCAACCTCGACAAGTTAATGATACAAGTACAGACATGAAACGGTTATTTTATTTCTTTCAAATAAATAAAAGATAACTACATAAATTATTCTGGTCACACTTTAGATTAGAGTCCAATTCTCACTATTAACTAACTATTAGCTATGACTTTTGCCTCAATTTACTCCTAATTACTGCTTATTAATACTTAGTAAAGTAGTTGTTAAGTTTAAGAATTGGGTAGGAATTGAGTAGGATTAAGTATTTAGAACAAGGTCTTGCAGAATAAGTAATAATAAACAGCCAATATCCCAGTAATATTCATGCTAATAACCAACTAGTTAATACTGAGAATTGGACACCAAATTTTTACCAATATTCTTATTTACTCGCCACAGTATTTAAAATGAGAAGTGTACATAAAAAGAATGCATTTTAAGGTTAGACTTTAAATTTTTATGTTAAATCCACTATTGTATTGTATATGAATGTTCTACAGTCTATACACAGTATTAAGTTAAATTACATAAGAAGTAGTAATTAAATTACAGAAAAAATAAGAGAAATCCCTTACTTTACTTTTTCAAGGGAAAAGTAATGAAATTACTGTAACTAATTACTTAGTAACTAATTACACCCAACACTATATATACAGTACAGGTGCATCTCAATAAATTAGAATGTCGTGGAAAAGTTCATTTATTTCAGTAATTCAACTCAAATTGTGAAACTCGTGTATTAAATAAATTCAATGCACACAGACTGAAGTAGTTTAAGTCTTTGGTTCTTTTAATTGTGATGATTTTGGCTCACATTTAACAAAAACCCACCAATTCACTATCTCAAAACCCAACCCCTCTGCGAATAGGGAGCGGAGGTACTGTATAACTCTATAACACAAATATAATGCAGAGGAATGATATAGATGGAATCACTTTCAAAATGATTTTTTTATAGCTGATGGACGATAAAAACATTGGCAGCCAATCAGAATTCTGCATTAACTAGCTCAAGCATTCAAAGTGTCAGATAACAAAACAGCAGTGTGCACATGTAATGACCAGAACATTATCATCCATTGGTGTGGACGGCAATATAATTATCGCTATAGTTATCTATCGTTCTTGGTGTGAATGGGAATTTATTTGCAGTATTTATTTACATTTATTTGCTGTCGGATCCAATATTATGAAGCTGTCACATGTGTTTGTGTGTGTTTGTGCTCATCAGGTCTGGATCTGAGACAGGCCCAAGTGGTGGCGCTATCGACCGGCACTAAATGCATTAATGGAGAGTATATCAGTGACCAGGGTCTGGTGGTCAATGACTGTCATGCTGAAATCACCACCAGACGAGCCCTGCTGCGCTTCCTGTACTCCCAACTAGAGTTACACCTCAGGTAAATGACACACATTTACATTTTATCATTTATACATAAATCTGTGCCGGAAAGAAAATACTTTATTTATGAGTCATTTTACCTTGTGAGGACGCTCCCAGTGGGAGGGTTTGTCAAATTTAGCCAACTTCTGAAGACAAACTTGTACCCAATGTAAGATGAATAAACCTAAACGTACACACACATACACATGATGCAGTAACTTCACTGTGTAAATTGCGATGTTATGATGCAAAATAGATTGTGTTTTTCAAAGAAACAGCTTTAAAAAAATGACATGAGGAATGAAAAATAACTGCATGCTAGAGAACAGCATGATGTCTAGATGCACAAATTAAGTGATTTATTATGATGTGCATTAAGTTTCCCCAAAACATTAAAGGGCTATTCCGGGTTCAAAACAAGTTAAACTCTGTAAGCATGTGAAGCATGTTCAAATACCACAGAAAATGACTTCAACTTATCTATCGGTTTGTAAAAAGAAGTGAAATCTAATTTATGATAATGCACTTACATTGGAAGTCAAGTAGGATTATGCAGTGTGTATTTTTTCCAAAGCACTTATTTTTGTCTGCACAAAGAAATTGAGTGTTATCTGAGCTGTAAAAATGTATATATATTGTCTTCTGATGAAACTACTATTTCTGGGTAGATGGGGATTGTAAACAGTGTCTTTGTCCATATCAACCCTTGTGAAAAAGAAGTGTGTTTAACTGTATTGAATGTTCACTTGTAGTGTACTTCAAATCTTTAAAGTATATTTTTTGATCTATTCCGCCAAGACCAAATATATTAACATTGTCATATCCATCACCATGCTAAAATGTTCCAAGAGTTGTCATAGTTGAAATATATTTGCAGATAATATAATATTAATGAAATAAAAGGGCTCTAGTTAATTTGGTTACACTTGATTTTGTGTCCTTGTTACAGTGTAATTGTACATTTAAGTACTGAATAATATAAATTACCTACATGTACTTGGGTTAGGGTTAGGATTAGGATTTGTTTTAGGGTTACTTGCATGTAATTATGCATAATTAATTGTTATTATAATAGTAAGTACATGTAACAAGTGTCTTGACACCTTAAAAATGAATGGTTACTGTTAAGTTCTTACCAAACTTACATAAATAAATGATTTACAAATAATTATATTTTAGTTTACTATAAATGCTTAGTTCATTCACAGTACATGTTAGCCATATTTCAAAGACAATAGAAGTAATTAAGAAATTATATATAAAGATATGCATAAGTCCTACTGAAATGGGTCAAAAAAGCACTGTAAAGTTCAGCTAATTGCATTTAATATAAATGTAAACTATAATACAGTACATGCAGTTAAATGTCGAAAACATTACATTCAGTTCACACTTTAAAGTATTATTCCTGTAAGTACTCTTTTTAAAAGTATAAAAGTGTACTTTATTCACAAGGGAAGCAAAAGTTGTGGTTTACTGACTTTTCATGGAGCTATATAAACACAATATCTAAGCCTCGTTGATATACTTTTGACATTGTGTAATGGAAACCTGTTACCATTTCAGAGTTAAAAATAACGAGTAAGAAGAAACAAAGTCACATTGTAAGATATAAAGACACACATTGTTGCAATTAGTCGAACCAAATCATGATTGAGAAATGATATGAAGTTGCAATGTGATATAAAGTCACATCGTGACACATAAAGTGTGTCTCATTGAGTGAAAAAACATTACAGTACAAAGAGCATACTATTACAATAATAATGTCTTCCATTCTCGTTTGGTCTGCAATAGCGTAATGGAACACGTTGATGAGGTATCATGTCTGTGCAAACAGGGTGCGAGGAGGTATGCAAATACATACGCTGACAGGCAGGTAGGACAGCTTATCGTAGCCCTCGGACCGAGGGATCTGATTGGACGAACATTTTATGGTCCTACGCCTTCCACAGATGATATAAATACATAAAAATACATTTAGACCACTTAACGTAGTGATCACTATCAGATGTGAACAGATTTTCTACCAGCATAACAAAAAATGTTTTTGAACTAAATCACCCTCCATAGTAAGTGCATTATCGTAAACAAGATATTTGCTAAATTTTCCCTCAAAGTTGAAATTATTTTCTGTGCTAATCAACAGCATGTCACAGAGGTTGTCAAGAGAGCTTAACACATATTGAACCTGAAAAACTCCATTAGAGCTTTACGCAAACAACACATCTTCTCAGAGAAGCACATTTCACACCCAACAAAGGACTTGGATGTACGTTCCAAAGTGTTAATTCTTCATTCTTAGAGAAAACACTCATTTGAAAGACTCATTCATTTCAAAGACTCATTTGAGTCTGGTCTGGTGTTGGAGGTATCATTGTGCGGCAGCAAAGACTCTAAATGTCTTCCTCGATGTAGCAGATTGCTGTATAGAAAAGCCTCCTGTAATGTCAAATTTGCATATGCGTCTTCCCATAGTGCATCTGCCACTAAATGGGCCTGTTTGACTGAGTCTGGAGTCTAGTTTGGAAGATAAGTCATTACGTTCGGCAAATAAAATACCACAGCACCTTCCTCAGTAGACAGATCTGGAGCAGCACGACTCCACCCTTGACATCGCAGGTCATTTGCCTAATTAGCACAGCTTAGGTGCCAATTAGCGACGATGATGTTTGCGTATGTAATGCGCTCCCCGTGCGCAGTTCACCTCGTGCACTATTCCGAAACGTCCTTTGTAAGATGTCACAGTGAGGCGTTAGTGCTAATTATGATGATATGTGTAAAAGTGGGACGGCTCTGCAGGAAACGCCGTGTCCTCCCTACAGCTGACTAGCTACAGATCATCTGGGTTAAAGAATTACAGCTCGCTGTTGTCTCGGCCATTTGTATTTGCCTTGTTCTGACAGAATAATGATTTGAGATTGTGTACCAGAGAGAGAAAGCGAGAGGTGCGAGAGGGGAATGTGACAGTGACGGAACTAGCCTTGGTCACGGCAAGGCCAATATTTGTCTCTCTCCTTTGTGTCTTCGGCCCATTATTAGCCCGGGATGTGAGCGCCGAACACTTTCAGACGTGGTTGTTTCTCATGTCTCCCTTTTCTGTTCTCTCTTCCCGCCTGCGGTCTGTGATCACTCTGAAGCAAAAGGAAAGAGGACTGGGAGCAATCGATCTTCGTACGGCACAAAGATTCCTGTTTGAGACTCCGAGAGAACGTCCTCTTCCACATGTACATCAGTACGTCGCCCTGCGGTGATGGCCGTGTCAACTCGCCGTATGAAATCACCTCCGATTGTAAGATTCTTCGCTTGTCTGTATCATCTCTTCTGCTCGCTTTTTGAAGTGTCCAGATGCTACGTACTATATGTGTCAAGTTCTTTGGTTTCTGGGGGTTTTAAAACTTAATCCAAACTTATTCCATTTTAAGGAGAATGTATTTATTCATTCATTCAGTTTTTTGTTGCATTTAAACTTTAACCGAACATTGTAGGCTAAAATATGTGGAAAATATAAATCATATGGTACTAAGTCATATATTCATAAATGAGGAGTTAAAACAGAACCATAATGGTTAAACAAATCATATAACTTAGCTTTATACTGTAACTTTTCATCATTTTCAGGCCTCCTTTTTAATAACATTAAAGTAATAGTTTAATACTCACCCTCAATCCATCCAAGTAGATGAGTTTGTTTTTAGATTTGGAAATGCAGCATTGCATCACTTGTTCACCAGTGGATGCTCTGCAGTGAATGGGTGCCGTCAGAATGAGAGTCCAAACAGCTGATAAAAACATCACAATAATCCACACTCCAGTCCATCAGTTAATGTCTTGTGAAGTCAAAAGCTTTGTGTTTGTAAGAAACAAATTCATCATTAAGATGTTTTTAATTTCACACCACTGCTTCTGGCCAAAATACACGTCCTCTATCTAAATATATTTAAATTGGGTGAACTATTCAACTGTTTAACTGTTAAATTGGGGGTACAAATATATATACATTATATTTTCCAATTATATACCTTAATCCTAATGGATTAACCAAGTAAAAAAAAAAAAAAATACATTTAATGAATTTAATGAATAATCTTTACAGATATGGCAAATGTTTGAATCCATATAAATCTTAGAAATTCCTTTCTTTACATTTAGGCGGAAGTTGAAAAAAAAATAATTAAAATGTATTGATATATGCTTCTGAACTTTTTTTCACAAATATAATTTAAATTCATAT